CTTTTCATTGGTCAGCCGGTTAGCGCGGCCGATGCTAATAATAAAAGCACACACGCGGGCGTCAAGACGCCGAAAACAGGCGAACAAGATCGACCTCGCACCAATCAACGCCAATGATATGGGGATGGAGTGTAGACGCACCNGACAACCCTCTCAAAGTATTTGGAGCACTTTCCAAAGTACCCTTGCAGAGGCACGCGAGGGCTGCTGCGTCTGCACCACGAGTGCCCCTCACCGTAGAAAGTCAGCTAGGGTTGTGTGTGAGTCATCTGTCGCTGTCGCTATTGCTATCGTCGCTGTTGCCAACGTTGACGATGCTGTCTGCTGTTGCTGTGTCGTCCGAAAAACGGCGGTCCGCCATGATGGCTTGCAGTTGTTGCTTCGCGTCCGCCGCTTTGTTTTTTCCTTTTCCCGGGGGGGTAGGAGCAGTAGTTGCCACCCCTCGCCGGCGGCCTGCTCCACCCTCGCTCTCAGTGTTGGTGGCGGCAGCGCCTCCCGTGGTAACATGAGTGTTCCCCGAGATGCCAGGCAGCAGCACTATCTTGCTGGAGAGCAAGCCTCCACCGCCTACGGCGGCACCGAGAGAGCCCGTCTGCTGGAATTTCGCCGGGGTTTTGGTCTGCCGGCCACGCTGGGTGGTCGTGATATCCATGTCGGTGTCCATGATGTTGTCGTGTTATCCGCGGTTTGTGCTGTGTCGTGTGTGTTGTCTCGAAGTGAGCGCTACAACTCACGGACGGCGTCATATTTTTTGACACAAGTTGCACAAGTCCACGTCACACGTTTAAAATGACTGCACATAGGTTCCAAGTTTTTTGAAAGACAAATGTCGAAAATTTTGACAAAAAAGTCGGTCCGTTTGAAACGGCCGTTACNTTTGACACAAGTTGCACAAGTCCACGTCACACGTTTAAAATGACTGCACATAGGTTCCAAGTNGATGTAAGTGACAGTAGAAATAAGTCCTACACATGTTGTTGTACTTCGTATTGGTTAAATATTCATCATGTAGAGTATGAGACATCAAGTGAAAGTTTTCTGAGGTACATCTGCAATTGTCGGAAGGCAAAAAATTAAATAAACAAAAGCACACAAATGTATACATACATGCTCTACCTCCCATTGTCCGTGGATGGATCCGCACGTGGCATCTGGGGCAAATTTGCAAAGAGCAGGAGGAGGAGGCAGTGGGGTTCGAGGGATTACGAGACCTACTGCTTAGACGATAAATAAAATGATTATGCAAAAACACGTAGTACGTACAGTATGTCACCACTCACTTGACTCATCGCTTTCCTAATATTATTGTTGTCGCATACAGATTGCGCCCGCACCTAAGAACTTACTTAGCAGTTAAGAAATTGAGACTCGCAAAAAATCAGAAGCTAAAAGCTAATAAGAACTTGATTGAGCACCATTTGTGAGCTCGGTGAAGAACCCCACACAAAAACCGATCTAAATAGCGGTCATTTGTATGTATGTAGCCCACAAGAGGATGATCAGCAAAAAAGTAAGAACCCCAGCCTCGGCCGCAACTAGAGGTTCTTAAGTGCGGGCGCCATCTGTACTCTCCCTCAGAAGTATACAGACGTGCTGACGTGCATTCTTTTCGTTTCGGCAGATATATTATTACACCCGGTCAGAACACGGCCATAAAATAATCGGGTACCCCTACAAGACGCTGCTGCTGCTGGGAGCGACCGCATGACACCATCTGTTTGGCCGACGCCCACTCCTACCCGACCTTGGCCGTCTTTCCACCGGGTGCACCCGATCTTGACTACTCACCCCCCAGCGGGGTACGTACCCGTTTCTTTTTTCCCCTACCCGAAAATGGCTGGGCTGTTCGACCAAAACCCGTGAACACAATCAATCACGGGTCGGACGCACACCACTGGTCCTCGTTTGTCGCCAATGAGCAAGTAGCGGGAGGGAGAGAATATGTCTATTTTTTTATGAGTCCCGTGTGTGTCGCATCTCGTGAGGGAGGCATTCATCCAGCTCTTCTTCTCGATCATTTGCACAGACAGACCGCCTGCCGTTTCTACCAAGGAAGACTTCCAACGCCGGCGGGGGGTGGGTCTGCCTCCGCCCGGCGGGCCGTCAGAACGTCCGAATTCGAGGGCAGGGCGTTGCTGACGTGTGTGTACTTGTGTGCATAGGTTTTGGTCAAACAGTCCAACCATTTTCGGGTAGGGGAAAGAAAAACCGGATACTCCTCCGGGGGGTGAG